CAACAGTGGGAGGGCTCCTAGCGCCCTGGCCACTGCTGGACCTCCTGATGGCATCTGGTATTTTTGGCCACTGTGTGACACAGAGTGTTGGACTGGAAGGGCCACTGGCCTGATCCAACATTGGCTTCTCTTATGTTCTTATGTCCTTAAAATCATGATTCGTCAAGTGAGATCATTGTGCCGTAAGGTGGATAGCACCGTTGGAACCACCACTTTTTTCTTTGTCTATATATTTTAAGAAAAAGGCGTTGACGGGGACAAAAACAGGTGTACGGTTGCCGCTCTTGACGTTTTTCAGAGAGGTGGCTTTATTAGTCTGCCCCTCCCTCCCGCCTCTGGTATTCCACGGAGGTCTCCCATCCAAGTACTTGCCAGTCGACCCTGCTCAGTTTCAGAGATCTGACAAGATCAGGCTTGCCTGGGCTACCCAGGTCAGGGCGAATGCTCCGTCTTGTTGGAGACATGATTGAGGTTTATAAGATAATCTTTGCGTCCGTGAGAAAAGTGGACTAAAAATAACGTAAATAAATAAATTGCTCCTAGCAGTTAGCATGTCTCTTTAAATACAGCTGACAGTGTTTATTACGCCTTGTTCACTCTCCTCCCCATATTTTTAACAGGTTAAACAACACGGCTCTTCACGAAGCCGTCTTGCTGGGACTGGAGCAACTGGATTGCACTGAAGCCTTGCTAGGGTAAGTTGGGCAGCAGCTGGGAAAAGCCTAGTTTTGGAAGGACTGTTGGATGCTTTCAGTTCCCGACTCTTTGCAGAGTGGTTTTCATATTCAGCATCATTCGTGTATGGGAGAGCCTGGCCCTAGCTAATTTTCATATAGCCATAGTAACCATTATTCTCTTTTCACAGATGTAACGCAAATATTAAAATGAAGAACGCCAAAGGATTGTCCGCCTATGATTTAGCCCTGAAGAGCAACAATGACAAAATAGTCTCCCTGTTTGCTAGTAAGCTAGGGCAGGGAATATTGGACAGCATGTAACACAGCCAAGCACAGTCCAGCTAACGGCTGATTATGAAATCCCCAAAACGAATTGATTTGGAAGAAGCCTTTGTGAGAGGGCGTGCCTTTTGATTTCAATGGATTCTGACAGTTTATTATTGACTTTTTATGGCTGAGGAGGAGGATAGATGTGTTATTTGGAAATTTGGCTTCCGACATCATATTTTTGACATCCTTATCCCCCAGATGAGAAATACGTCCTAACAGCTAGCAGTTATCCTTTAATAGTACCTAAACCTGCTGCCTGAAACAGCCATATTGCTCAGCCGGGGTGGGGTGCTCAGAGATGTATCCATTAATGCAGATGGAGACACTGATTCCTCTCTGGGGCAACTAGGCAACAGCTGCAAAGAAACACTTAGAAGCAGGTTAACTGGGTTGCTCAAAACTCTCATATTCTACTGAAAACGAGGTCTCAGAATTCAGTTTGGGCCAGGACTCAAGGTGTACCCCTCCACTGTCTTTCTCGTAATATACTTCAGGGCAGGGCTTTTTTTGTAGAAAAACCCCAGCAGGAACTTATTAGCATAATAAGCCACACCCAACAGCAGAAACCTATTAGCATATTAAGCCACACCCCTGACAGCACAGCTCATTAGCATATTAGGTCACACCCCATGCCTTCCCTTGACTTGCCCGGGCAAGCCGTCCCTTGGACAGGCTGGGGAATGCATGGGGAGGTATTTAAATGCCTCCCTAATCCTTCCAGGGGGCCCCTGGCCCGCCTGCCTTGGAGTTGCCGGGGGGGTCGCTCTCCAGGCCTTCTCTCTGTAACACACGCAGAGGTTTTGGCTGTAGTGGGCGTGGCTAACTCTGAAGCCAGCCAGAACTCCGTTCCTGTGCGTTCCTGCCCAAAAATAGCCCTGCTTCAGGGGTTCCCAACCTCTTTTAGCCTGCAAGCACCTTTGGAATTCTGACATGGTGTGGTGGACGCAGCTACAAAACTGCCTGTGCAGGAGGCAGGGCCAGCCGTAACATGATTGCTGCAGCTTAACTTCAGTCATGCAGTCAAGCTCCTTGTGCTGTGGTGGCGACTGCTGTCAAAGCCTCTTTAGTCATGCAGTGAAGCTCCTTGTGCTGTGTTGGCGACTGCTGTCAAAGCCTATCTCTTCTCCAGTAGCCAATCAGAAGCCTTGCAAAAGCCCTACCTGCCTCCACTCATTTCCTAAAAATACCTGGCGGGCACCAGAAAAAGTGTCAGTGGGTGCCCTGGTATACTTACTCCTATTCCCTGACATACACTCAGTTGACACCAGTCCTTGCCTTGGGTCAGTTCGTCATCTCAGCTCATCTTCAGATCAGGGACCAGCCCTCCAGGGGGGTTCACAGTTTGTCTTTCTCCTTCCACGCCCTAGAGGACGGGAGGTTAATGCCAGGCTGGGTCTCCTTGACCAGGCAGTTTAGGGAGATTTCACCATTAGTACAAAGTGCCAAAAGCACATGTGTAAAATGTAACATGTGGAGCTGCGGTGGCTCAAGTGGTTAAGACGCTGAACTGCAGGCTGTGGAAGGTCAGTAGTTCAGCAGTTCAAGACCCGAGTTGCCACATGACGGAGTGAGCTCCCGTCTCTAGTTCCAGCTCCTGCCAACCTAGCAGTTCGAAAGCAAGAAATTGCAAGTAGATAAATAGGTACCGCTTCGGTGGGAAGGTAACAGCGTTCCATGCACCTTGATGTTTAGTCATGCCGGCCACATGACCACGGAAACGTCTTCGGACAGCGCTGGTTCTTTGGCTTGGAAATGGGGATGAGCAACGCAACCCTAGAGTCGGACTCGACTGGCTTTTGAGCAAGGAAACCTTTACTTTAAAATGCAAAGAAAATTTGTACAAACTAAAGAAGTGTGCGTGATCTTGCTGAAATGTGCTGCTGTTGCAAAGCAAAGCTTAGGTATCTTTTCAGTCTGAGATAAAGTCAACGGAAATGGGGAAAGGAAAGTGGAGGACAGAGCAACTGAGGCCAAAAACAGAACCTGGCAACGCACACACCGCCACCTTGTTTCTAAGCATTTAGCAGATGCTACCCACATATTTCTCTTGAGGGCCATAATATATATTTTTTTAAATGAGACCCTGGAATTCAGATTCCAAATCTAATATTGAAATATTGGGAGGTTGGAATAGTATTCAATTATATTTTTGTTAGGTTCTTGTGAATGTCATGCTATTGTCAGTTCCAAGGACATCTTCACTGCAAACAGGTGTTTTGTTTGATTTATACGTCCCCATCTGCTTTCTGACCTTGGAAAGACAAAACAGAAGCACAGTCTGTTTCTACATAATAAAAGGACAGGACACTTCAGCAGGCCAATTCAAGTGTGCTTTATCACTTTCCAACCGAGAACAGTTGGAAAAACAGAATACCACTAAATACAGCAGTAGTTTAAGTGTAGAAATCGAAGCCCTTGAGAGTCATCGACCAGCTTATCAAAAGGGTTCTTCAGGGTGTGAGTGTGACACCACGGGACCGTTGTGGGACCGTTAGGTGGAGGGCTGCTGCCCTCACGGCCCAGAAGGTGCTTGCAAAGTCATTCAGGTGTGCCGCTTCCCCTGACTCACACGTTCAAGGGCAGTGATGTGTGAAAGGAGGTGCCTCCATCCGCTCTGGGCAGCCCCTAGCCGGAGCACCCACCTGGGGAGTCTGAGCTGCTGCAGCTGGGCCAACCTGCAGGGAGCGCTGCCTGGGACAGGGACTTCCTTCCGAGTGCTTCCAGTGCCAACCCGACTATGGCTTGCTTGCCCCCGTCCACAAAGATACCATCCACCATACCAGCAAAAACCAGGACAGCAGTCAGGAACGACGACTCCCTCGAGCCTAAAATGCTGCCCAAGGGCCTCCTCCTTCAGCTCCTTGAGTTCCGGGGCTTTACTGGCTTCATCCATAAGCAGCAAGCCCAGCCGCACGGGACTAACCGCAAAAACAGCTGAGAAGGATGACCTTCAGAAAGACAAGATGGAGGCATTGGCTGCACTGGAGGATTCCAAATGAGCCGATCAGAAGCTGCAAAAGGAGACTTGACTCCCTAAATTCTGTAATGGTAGATCTTCAGAGGAAGAACAAAGAGCTTAAATTGAAAAGGTTGCCAGGGAGGAAGAGAAACCTACGAAGAAAAAGCCTGGCCTTTTCTGTGACAATTGCGACTACTTCGACCCTCACAATGCCAGAGACTGTCTGACTCAAGCGCAGGCCTCAGACAAGCCTCTGCATTTGACTTACCATGGCAACCAGAAAAAAGAGCGCCCCTTCTGTGAAATCTTCAAGGTGTTTGGGCACTGGGCCGCAAACTGCAATGACAAGACCTTTTGATGCAGCCGGGGTCCAGGGAGAGGGAACTTTGCTCTATGCGTTTGTCAAACAGCATCCATGCCAGGAATTCTGCCCATACTAAGCTAAAATCAAATCTAAAAATTTACTTGGCAAAAAGGGGGGGGGGGTTTCTTCAGGAAGAATAAGGGACCACATCCATCCTTCCAGGCAAAGGCGTTGTGTCTGTCACCCTTGGCATCTCTGTCATGATCAATAGGCTACAAAGCAGAGACGTAGCCAGCAGTGGGGCTTTAGGGGTGGAGCCCCGCCATGGCTGGCTGGGCGGCAGAGCGGGTAGAGGAGTGCAGTCTGGCCTGCAGCTACACCCTGGCTGGAGCCAGGGAGCCATTAGAGGCAACGGGGGAAGCCGTGGCACAGGAAAACAGCAGGAGTCTTGCGGGAGGGGAGCGAGAGATGCATGCCTCGGCCCAAGAAACACCCACTAAGGCCAGGGCAGCCTTAAGCGCCACAGAGGTCCCCACCGGTTTCACATGTCAGATGCAGCAGTGCGACTGGGTTGGGGACTGCATTCCAGCTCACACCCACCCCGCTCCAGTAGGTGCGCGATTCTGGCCCCACGCGAGCCACCAGTAACAGGATCGTGATGGTGCGCACCAGTTCGAAGGGTCCGTCTCTTGAAAGTCTTGTTTGCTGCCCCAAGCAAGTCACCCTGCCAGAAGCAGCCTTCGTGGCAACAGCAGCCTCGCCCCCACTTCTTCATACCACAGCAGCTAAAGGCAAGATTGCAGCCGCCGCTGCCACTCACATAATGGGTCAGAGCCTCATACTCCACCTGGTGTCGTGAGAGGAGACGGTGGCCAGCGCCAGGGAAACCGCAAGGCCAGGCCAGGCAGCCCACCGGAAGCAGCCTTCGAGCCTGACTGCCTGGCTTGGCTGACTGACTGGCATGGTGGGAAAGGTGGAGGGAGGGCGCCCTTTCTCCAGCTCCTCTCCTCCTCCGGCTGTTTCATTTGAGTTTTTATTTTTTTACACAGGACATGATGTTAGCCCCCCACCAAAAAATTCTGGCTTGAAAGGGTACTTGAAGGGCTGTCGTATACAGGATGGTACTGTAAAATCGCCCTTACATTATGTTTTTGGTAATTCTATTTCCTATGTGTTTTTCCCCTATTTTTTCTTTCTGTATCCCTTTTTTAAAAATTCAAAATAAAAAAAATATTCTAAAAAATAGGGTAGTATAGAATTGCTTTCTGTTGTCCCAGAAGGCTGGACCAGAACCAACGGGTTGAAATTAAATCAAAAGAGTTTTCGGCTAAACATTAGGAAGAACTTCCTGACAGAGGGGTTCCTCAGTGGAACAGGCTCCCTTGGGAGGTGGTGGGCTCTCCTTCTTTGGAGGTTTCCAAACAGAGGCAATGCCGATTCTGTGAACTTGGGCAGATCACGAGAAGGGGGTGCAGGAAGGGTTGCCTCAGTGCTTAGTTCTCGTGGCCCTTTCTTACACGCCCAGGGAAATGTCATTCGCTACTTTGGGGTCAGGAGGAAATTTTCTCCAGGCCAATTTGGCCAGGGATCCTGGAGGGGTTTTTGCCACCTTCTGGGCATGGAGCAGGGGGTCACTGGGGGTGGGGGGGGGAGGTACTTGTGAACTTCCTGCCTTGTGCAGGGGGTGGGACTAGATGACCCCGGAGGTCCCTTCCAACTCTGGTTCTGTGGCCACAGGGCTGCTACAAAGTGTGCATCGTACATTTGAAATAAAGCAAACGAGCACCTCAGATGCCTTTAAGAGCAATGGTTTTGAGCCAAATTTTCTTACAGTGTCCAGATTTTCCATGGACCTCCAGTTAACCCCACGTATCACCGACGCAACCTCAGAAAGAATGCATGCCTGCACTCCTTGCTATCCAAAGGGTAGTATTTGTCATAGAAATCTAAAATGTACTCCTCAGTTTTAAATCCGAACTTCTGGTACAGCAGCATTGCAGGATTACTTGCAGAGACATGAAGGGTTACGTCTTTGCCCATGCAGGTCTGTCAGAGAGCAGAAACAAAAACTGTGTTATAAGGGGGGGAAATTACACAAGGAAATAAAGATTCAAATGCTGAAAGAGGAGGGAATACTTCACGCATGGCATTCCAACTATGGAACTCCTACACCTACTGTGATGTGGGGAGTGGATCTCGCAGATGGGCAGGTGGCCTATGTTGCTTCTCTGTAAGGCGTTAACAACTTTCAGGAAGCCAAGAACAATTATGATACACTTTTTAAAAAAACAGCATTACTGCAGATGGATCGATAATGAAAGAAAAGAGACATGCAATTTAGAAATACCCGCGGTCACCCAATGAGTTTTCATGGCAGAACAAGGACTCAAATTTGGGCCTCCCAGATCATAGCCTGAAATTCAGTGTATTTTTAAAAATTTAGATTTCAAATTTTTTTGCAAACCTGGGGCTTTTCAGGTTTGGAGAGAGATCTATCTTGCCTGTTCATTGCTCCTGCCTCCAAATTTAAATATCCACAGATTTGGCCATGTAATCAGATGTACTGATACAGCAAAACTCCACAAAGATAAGCAAGAGAAAAAACACTTGCCAGCCAAGCAAAAATGGACAGTGAAGTATAATTCACGCAGAGGCAGATGTATAGATTAGTCATAGATATATTTATAGCTGTGTAAGGTAAGGGGGGGGATTTGCTGCTCTTGACATGGTTGTTCACTGCAAAACGTGTTTGCACCAACGTCCCATCACTGTGGCTGCCGAGACAAGGAATTACTACACTTGATACAGACAAAACCTGTTGTGTTCTAACGGGGCTTTGTCTTTGAGCGTGACAAGAGATCGCCTTAACTGCCCAGAAGCAAAATGCTCCTGACCGGTCCTGATCAATTGGCTCAGTATCACCTGGACTATTTAGAATGGTGCCGCTATCCAGGTCAATAGGCTCTAATAGTCGATTCCAAAACACAAGCCATGCATCAGTATCTCTTCAAGGATCTCGCACGCACGCACACTGAATTTGCAAATCAATAAACAAGGATGGGCCACACAAATGATAAAACACATGCAGAGTAAAATCTGCCCAGTTTGCTTTTGCACCTTCAGAAAAATCATCGGAGAAACTACCTGAATGAGGTGGTAAATCATAAACGTTGCGATCCCCGATCGCCTCCATTCCGGGTGAACAAAGAGAAAAGAGATGTAGGCTTCATTGTATTTAACATCTGGCACCATAAAGCCAAAGGCAACGATGACCTTTTTGTAAAGAACGACAACACTGAAGTCAGGGTACTGCAGGCATTCCGACAGGTCAATCCCTGAAAGGGGAAAGAAGAGCAAAGAATCACACTTTGACTGGTGGGAGGGTGTATCATAGACAACTGTAGACAATACCGGCTGAGGCCTAAAGCAAAGGTGGGGCTGTCTCACTTGCACAAGTTAAAGGAACGTGAAAGAACACAGGGTAACACCAAAGTAACTCATCATCCAATATTAGGATTGGTAATAATCCTGTAAGAAATGCATTAATACACTTTAAGACACTTTCATGTAACAAAAGGACACAGTATTCAGTGGTCAATTAAATTATGTATTCCCCTGTGAGGAATTCCCCCTATACCACTCTGCCCAACGGGATCTTCTAGCGGTCCCATCCCCAGCCAGGTTGCATTCTGCAGCTGCCCACACCAGGCCAGAAGGACATTTGGCACAGGCTGAGGAGTTCTTTGAGCCTAGTGATATGATTCCCTATAGATTAGGGTCACTTACTCATTATTCGAAGAAGTATTTTATTGCAATACGTCCAGTTTGCCCAGGTACTAAAACTATCATAGCCATGGCAAAATCAACCTTGCTCTGTACAATTATGGAATTCCAGGAGAGTCGATGCTATGGCATCCAGAAAAGTGCTTCCAGGAATAAGCCAACTTCAGTCAAAATATATATAAACTACCATTAAAACTTACAGCAAAAAATATAGTTTTGCTTAGTTTTTAATCAATTTTTACTGTCTATCTATCTGCCTGGACACTTTAGGCATTTCATCCCAAATTCTACTTGAAAAAATGTGTGCAGTGATTACTTTCTTACTACTGATTTATCATGACTGCTATGTTCAATTAAACATGAAAAACCTAAACAAAACAAAACAGAGATGTGACCAGCTCCCACTGGACAAGCGAATAACTTCTCCAAAGCCAACACAGGGAGCCTCTGGAGCAGCCAAAATTATTAAGAATTTCAAGTATGGTAGACCCTCACCATTCGCAGCTTGCAATTTCACATAATGCAGCTAGTCCTGAGCATGTGAGCCTTCTGCAGGCACGAACGCTCTGACCCAGGACGACTGCCGAACTGGTAGAACTGCATCTGCTTGTGTAGGAAATGTGTGCGCCGGGCAACTGGTGCAGTGGCACCGCCCTCACCTTGCATCACGGTGCCATGCAACTTGCCTGGCTGTGCAGGTGGAACATAGATCCACTGGCTATTAGCCACAAGGTATAGATGGAACACTCTGGGGCAGTGATGCGCTCTATTCTTGGTGCATGGGGGGCAACAGTGGGAGAACCTCTGGAGTTCTGGCCTCACTGGTGGGCCTTCTGATGGCACCTGGGTTTTGGCTACTGTGTGACACAGAGTGTTGGACTGGATGGGCCATTGGCCTGATCCAACATGGCTTCTCTTATGTTCGTATAGATGGAACACTCTGTTTGGGGCAG